CAAACTCCACACAGAAATGCCAATGCCAGCCGGGGTTGAAACCAGCGACCTTCTTGCTGTGAGACAACAGTGCTAACCACTGAGCCACCGTGTCACCTACTTGAAAACATTACTTTTCAAAGTCCTCACATTCATGCAGTGTGCATGAAACTCACAGCTCCAGTCAAATAAGTTGAAACATCAAACTGTACATGCAGCATTCAAATGTGGCTTCATTTTTCCAGTCATCTTGGACCTCAATGATTGTAGCTCGCTGATATATTTTGATTCTGATTTAGATCATATACCACACATATCCTCCACTAAATATATCTTCTCGTCATGAGTCAGATAAGAAGAGGACAAGTCCTCCATATGGTGCAAATATCCTTTGATGGCCATACGAATACCACATGTCACTCTTCTATCAAATGAACCAACAGACACAAGCCACACAGGACTGAAGCTGAGAGGAAAACACACACACCTCTTCTCTCAAACCATAATGAGCGTGAAGGAGACATCAACATGTGTTAATTAGTTCCTCATCTCTAATGTGGGAAGGGGCTTGGTCCTGCCAAGCCACTAAAAAACAATAAGACCAAGCCATAAAGTTGATCACTTCCTCATTAATTTTACATTAAGCTGATATCATCCTCATGAGACTAATTATGCAATGAGTCAAGAACATCTAATATCAGATGTTGTTGATAATGCTACATCTACCGATATCAACATGAGATTGTGACAAAGCATGATTCACAAGATCTCCCGTTGTTTTTTTTCACCCGAATAAACCTCTTAACCTAGAGAGACGCTTGACAAATACCCTCACTATTCAGCTAATAACCTGTAATTAACCTGTTTGCTCATGTCTTTAGTGTGTGTTAGTCATACCGCTTGTTCTCATCCAGGTAGTACAGTCTGAAATGAGCCTTTACTGGTCACCAGAATCAAAGCGAGCCTTGACTCTTGAAGAATGTGCACCAAGATGAAAGCAGCTGTAAAGTTTTATGATTCTCACCAAGTGCATGCACGATTTCAACACCATGTGACGCGGTCAGCCAATCCCTTACTCTTAGATTTCAGATTTACAGTGAGTTTTCCCGAGTAACAAGCTATAAAAGATAAAAAAGGAACATTTTCAGGTTGTATTTAAATTGGCTGCATGTAAGAATTTTAACGAATAAATCGCTTGTTTATTGCCAATGTGTGAACACCTTGTAATGAAACGTAAAAAAAAAAAAAAAAAACAGGCCGACTTCCTACAGTCTAAAAATGCTGTGACCTTTTTATCCCAAATTTGGGTAAAACATGGTCTAATGCATTTTTCAGGATACATATTTTTTTACTACAATCACAAATCAAAAAAAGTTGGGACAGTAAAGAAAATGCAAATAAAAAAGAAAAGTAGCGATTTCTAAATTTACTTTGACTTGTATTTTATTGCAGACAGTACAACAAACATTATTTATCATATTGACTAATATGGTCACAATTATTCATCATATTTTTATTGTTGTTTTTTCATAACAATCACGTATTCCAATTTTGGTTCTTGCAACATATTTCAAAAAGTTGGAACATGAGCAATTAAGGGCAAGTAATCAGGTAAATGAATTAAATAATGATATGATTTGAAGCAGGTGATTAAAAGGGATTCTAATTATGATTTTGTACAAAGAAAAAAAATGTCTATTCCTTTATGAGCAAAGATGACCCTAGAATCACCAGTTTACCAATAAATATGTGAGAAAATTATTAAAATGTTGAGAAACAATGTTCCTCAAAAAAAGATTGGAAGACATTTGAACATTTTACCTTCAACAGTGCATAACATAATTCAAAAGATTCAAGGAATATGAAGAAATTTCATTGTGTAAAGGACAAGGGCGCACGCTTAAGCTTGAGCTTCTATTGATGAAAGAGCTTCTTTAATAGGCTACACACAGAATAAAAAATAATCATAGTAGAAATTGACTTACTATGTAAGTTGAATTTTAAAATCAACAGCAGAAGTGCAGCCAGTCATCTGGGCATGTCTGCAGGCTTTGTTCACACCATCAGTTTAAAAGTATTGTTCTGGATTCTTCTTATGCCTTCTTACACAGTGCATTGTATATTTGCATATAGTGCATGTTATAGTCCAACCCCCCCCTTGATTATTCACAACAGTGGAAGTATCAGTCAGAACTATCTTTTTACTGCAAAAATAGTAATGAAATGTAAGTGTAAAATTAATTTGTGAATATGCACATTTTTTATTTCTTCATCATATTTAGTAGAGAATAAAAATAATAATTAATTATTAAATAAATTTAAAAAACATTGCACCTGCAATAATTTGAATAATTTAATAATGTTAAATAATTAATAATAAATAATGTAGCCTTTGTTTTATATTTTTATGTATTTTATGTATTAGACAATATTATTAAATAATAAATAAGTTATTTGAAAATTAAATAAATCATAATAAATATTGTTATTGTCGTTAATCATATTAATAATAATAATTTTCATGCATTTGATATAGCATAAATGAAAAGCAATATGTGAGCCAAGTTGCATGTCCAAATTCAAAGTATTCAAAACACAGTATGCGAGAAGTACCCAGAGGACCTACTACTTCCAGTGAGATTGTTTACTGTGCATTCAATGGACGCTACACTGTCTCATGATGCCACACGAGAGAATTCATGCCTGGAAGTAAAGCGATGCAACTGACTTGTGTTGATCATGTGATAAAGAAACAAATGACAGATTTAGGACATCCAAATTCCATTCATACTACTCACAATAATACTATATAACCCATACCTTTCTAACGGTCATGTTAAAAATTGGTAACAATTTACAGTAAGGTTGACTAATAATTAACTAATAATAATTAACAAAAAATTTACAGTATTAGTTAATGTTAGTTAATGCTTTACTAACATAACCAATGCAGTACATTTATTACAGTATTTCTTCATGTTAGTTAACATTACTTAATGAAATTAAAGTTCAGTGTTTGTTCATGTTAACTCACGGTGCATTAACTAATGTTAACAAGCATGAATTTGAATGTTAATAAAGCATTAGTAAATGTTGAACTGTGATTAGTTTATACATGCTGTACAAGTATTTTTCATAATTAGTTTTTGTTAGGAAATGAAGAGTTCAGATGCAAAAACTTCTAAATACCATTTGAAATTTCCTTTAAAAATTAGCAATTTTATCAGGCTTCTGTCTGTAGGTTCAGTAATTTCAAGTTTATGGCAAAGAATACACTCTTTTAAGCGTCTTTAAAATGAAATAACTCAACATAAATATTGGAGTCTGAGAAAAATGCTCATTTTCAATGAAAATTTTGAATTTGAACTTTGAACTCTTTAAATACTTTATAATAAAACTGTATTGTAAAGTGTGACCTGTAGGTTCAAATTATAAAGTTGTTTGTGATTTAGGACACAGCCAAGGGTTTGGTAGAGATCTGTTAAAGAAACTGTAAGTGTGGTAAATGTCCAGAAATACTACATCTGAACAATGTCTTTAGGTGTTGTAACTGTGGTATAAGCAGAATAATTTGAATTAGAATTGCGGCTGGAAGGGCCTCCACTGCGTAAAACATATGCAGCATAAGTTGGCAGCTGATTGCGCTGTGGTGATTTATAAAGGGACTAAGCCAAAAAGAAAATGAATAAATGAATGGATTATTAGAAAATAATACACACAATACTTAACATCATGGCACATCAGCAGCCTGTTATTCTAGCCTGATCTCACAAGGAAATGTAAATATTTAACATTTTGTCAATTTAGTGGCTAATTTGTACAAATTCATACAAGTTCAATGTACTATATCAATAGTGTTTAGTCTTTTAAAAACACTGTTGTAACACTTTGAGCCAGTAAGCACTGTTCTTATGACATTTTTCTACAGGAGGAAAATGTGAATAACTCCCAAATACTTTAAATATAGTCTGTGTTATGGCAAGACTATTTATGAAATCTAGGCATAAAACTAATGTTTCAGATGACTGTTCTAGAGCCTACAGCTAATCAAGCTTTCAGATTCTGGAGTGTATTACATTTGTAATGTAATTTATCTTAAGTAAAGCAAGTACTGGTATATAAGTATATAATTTCACTCACCAGGAAAGGCCACGTGAATGGTTTGTGAGCACAATTAAAAACACACAACATGCAATATTATCTAATAATTGTAGGAAATAATTTCAAAAGGCAACTGACTGTGTAAACCACATAAAACAAAACAAAAATACAACGTATATGCAGAGTTCAGCAGCTAATCAGCCGGAATCAGCTGAGGTGACATGATAGTGATCAACAAGAGCTAGTTGTCACTCAAGTGGCCACGCCCTTAATTATGAGATAAGGATGAGTTATAAAAAAAAACCTCACAGTTATCAGTAAGAGTAAAATTAGTTATATGCACCAAAGCCATCTTTTGTATCAGGCTGTAAACATGTTTTTGTCAACTGTAAAATTGGCCAATGCAGTCAGAGAACATCTGGATTTCCTGGAGCCAGCCCCCAAAGGTGAGTCAATCAATTGCAGTTTTAAGATACTTCCGTATTGGCTTCACAAGGGAGAGCGGGATGTTGCCGCTTGGTTTTCACACACTGAGCTGATGAATGAGACAGTGGTCTGTCTAGATGACAGCAGATGTCATATTTTATAGATAATAAATATTCGCCCACTTGTAGTACATGATGTAGAGGCATGGGAAAGCCCTGACTCTGAACCAGAGAAGCTCTGATGTTATGACATGCTACATTACGGCACACTTTTAAGTCTCAGTAATCATAACCACTAGCAGAACTGCTTTCATACCTATAAATGGTGAGAGTGCCAGCTGCTGAAACCATGAAGCCCAGACCTCTATTTCTGGAAGAAAAGTGCATTGTGGCTGTTGATAGAGGGCCTGCTGGACAGTCTCAGACAGACAGGGCTGTTACTCATCCAGACAGGCCTCTACTCCTCTAATACTGTGTGAACATTACTCTCGACAGGCTCCCTCAATCTCATCCCGGCCCGGTGTTGACATTCTCTGCCTGGTATTGTTAAAGAAGACCCAGCCGCTCATATGTGACGAAGTGTAGCGCTGTCTGGGAGAAGTTCAGGAGAGGGAAGCTGTAAACAGATCTCCATGGGCTCCTCTGTGACCCCCGGCTCCTCACAGTGCGTTTGTTCTGGCACTTTACAATGCTCTGGGTTTATGGGGCCTGTGACCTGTGGACGTCCACAAGATAAATCCACACAGACTCTCTGGTGGCCGACCACACTAGTGTTATTAGCGCTGGTAATATTTTACAGTGCTATTTGTTAATGCATTGGTTACACTTTACATTATTAAGGTTTTATTTGTTCACATATTTTTTTTACTAACATGAATAAACAATGTGCAATATATTTATTATAGTATTTATTCTTTATTACATCTTTCACTCAAAAAAGGAAGTATGTTGTTTGTTTAAACTACTTATTTAAAATTAGTAGAAGCAACACAATTCTTACAACTCAATTGTTTTACAATGCTCAAATAATTTAGTACACTCCATTTTGAAAATGAATATTTTTAATATAGGCAATGTGGTGAATTTGAACAAAACAGATTTATAAAGCAGATATGTTTATTAAAATATTATTTTAGTCACCGAACATCTTTAGAAATTGAAAGATAAAATATTTTTCTATTACCTAAATGGGGGTGTACTATTTGGCTTCACTAATCCCATGTATATGCACAAAAATAATAATATTGTATAGCTTCCTAATAAAAATAAGAATATAAAAGATAGATTTGTGAGGGATATACTTATAGATGCTGAGCTCTGTGTGTTCAATCCATGTAAATGTGTATAAAGGATTAAGTTAACTTACTGTGATTGATTTATGTTGGGGCAACATGAAGTAATTGTGTGGAACCCATCATCATCAGTGTTGTTAACATTAGTTAATGAAAACACAGTCATTTATTGTTAGCTCTTATTAACTCATAGTAATTTATTAATGTTAGCAAGCGCCACTTTGTGTTTAAATAATGCATTTTTACATTTTACTATTAGTTTAACAAGTATTGTTCATTTATTTTAGTAAAGACATTAATAAATGTTTAATGTAAAACGAGACTAATGCATTAACTGACATGAGCTACCAAAGAGCAACAGTATATTTTTAAAGCATGGATTAATTTTTAATAGGTTAAACAAATAATTAGTGAAATTATTTTACCATGCATCAACTGTGCTAAAAACATTTAGTATGTCAAATAATGTTGAAATCAACATTGATAAAATTCATAATTAGTGCTGTTCGTTGTTAGTTTGTGATCATTAATGCAGTTAACTAGACTTTATACTCAATAATAAAACATTATTATAAATGTTACCATAATTTAACTATAAAAATGTTGGTAACACTTTACAATAACAATACATGAATTATGATGCATTAATATGAAAACTAATGATTACTTTATTATGAACTAATAATGAGTTAATGCTTGTGCTAATCATGAATTAACTTTAATTAGAACATGAGCAGAGTGAGGTGTAATGCTTTCCACAGTAACGAGTTACTGTATTCTAATTACATTTTTGAGGAACGCAGTACTTTAACGAATTACATTTTAAATTTGTGTAATTTAACTACAGTTACTAAAGTCAGTGTAATTGTGTTACTTGAATTACAAATATAGTTTTTAGAAGAAAAAATGCTTCTTAAATCACGTTTTCTGCAGCAACGTCAGTTAAAAAGCATGCGCTTTTAAATTGCTGGAGAACGTGTGCTGAAATGGTTGCAGACGAGAGTGCTTGCTTCTTCAAGTCGAAATACTGACATTACGTTGAGCAGAAAAATATTGCTTTGAAATGCAGTCTATGTCCAGTCTCTAAAGAACTTTCGACTGCTTTTAACTCAACCAGCAACTTCAAGCACTCGAACAGAAAGCATTCTATGACGATGCTTATCACTAAGGAGGACATTAGCGCCCCACAACATGGCGGTCCAGCTCAGCCTAAACAGACTAAATATGATTTTTGTGCAGGATCGGGAGTGAAGGTATCTTCTGAATGTTAAGATTCACGCAGTACACACATTTCATCTTTTGCGCGTTCACACATATTGGGAGCGCTTTTTATTTCCCAGGTGCACACAGTTAAAAACCATGAGTCATTTGTCGGTGTCAGTGGTGGCTTCGACACATGCACTCCAGTGCTCACGGCGACCTGAGTTCGATTCCGCCTCGTGGTCCTATCCTGATCCTTCCCCTCTCTCTGCTCACCATGCTTTTCTGTCAATTCTCTCTGCTTTCCTATCCAATAAAGTTGAAAACCTTGAAAAAAATAGTTATTAAAAAAAACAAAACACGATTCATTTGACAAGAACTGGTCAGCAATTTACATTTAGTCATTTAGCAGACGCTTTTATCCAAAGCGACTTACAAATGAGGACAAGGAAGCAATTTAGACAACTATAAGGGCAACAATGAACAAGTGCTGTAGGCAAGTTTCAGGTATGTAGAGTGTAAGAAGCAAAGACATTTGTAATATATATATATATATATATATTTTTAGGACAGTTAACGGTGGAGCCAGAGAGGCAATTGCAGATTAGGAAGGAAAGTAGAGACTAAATAGTTGAGGTTTTAGTCGTTTCTTGAAGACAGCGAGTGACTCTGATGCAGTTAGGGAGTTCATTCCACCAACTGGGCAGATTGAATGCGAGAGTTCGGGAAAGTGATTTCTTCCCTCTTTGGGATAGAACCACAAGGCGACGTTCATTCACAGAATGCAAGTTTCTGGAGGGCACATAAATCTGCAGAAGTGAGAGCAGATAAGAAGGAGCAAAGCTAGAAATCGCTTTGTAAGCAAACATAAGAGCTTTGAATTTGATGCGAGCAGCAACAGGCAGCCAGTGCAAACGGATGAGTAGCGGAGTGACATGTGCTCTTTTAGGTTCATTAAAGACCACTCGTGTTGCTGAATTCTGAAGCAGCTGAAGAGGTTTGATAGAGTTAGCTGGAAGCCCCGCTAGTAGAGAGTTGCAATAGTCCAGTCTGGAGAGAACAAGAGCTTGAACAAGGAGTTGAGCTGCATGTTCAGATAGGAAGGGTCGGACCTTTCTGATGTTATAGAGTGCGAATCTGCAAGATCGAGCAGTTCTAGAAATGTTAAGTTTAGTTGGTCATCAAGGCTTCATACTTTGTATGGAATATACTCATTTCTGTAGACTAATTACCTCAGACAAACACAGAACACCCATTTACTGCAGTGCTTTTGCATACTATGGATGTCAATGGTTACAGGTATCCAGTTTTTTATTTATTTATTTATTTTTATAAATGTCGTCTTTTGTGTTCGAAAAAAAACAGGTTTGGAACAAGTGATGAAAGGATTTTAAGTTTTGGGTGAACTCTAAGTCTTTTGAATATGTCAAGCTGCTGTGATCAACCCATTGTAAGGTTTTTCAGTGCATATTAAATTCCTGAAAGAGCAGCAGTGTATTTTGTATTTTTAAAGGTTTTATATGTTTTAAAAGAAACTTCAAAGTAAACCAATTAGTAATCTGATTACTTTTTACAATAAGTAATTAGTAATGTAATCAGATGACACTTCTCCAGTAGTAGCCAGTAATTTGTAATAGATTACTTTTTTAAAGTAACTTATCCAACACTGATAATGAGTCACATGATTTCATGTGTGAATAACGACTACCTTAGTTACTTGTTAGTACATGATTGTTTGGTAATGAATATATTACTTAGTAAATTAGTTTATGCTTAATTTAACCATCATGATCTCATGACATGTTAATGTAAAATATCATGACTTTACTTGAAGGGGCACATCATCAACCCATTCTTAACAACTCATGAACTTCTTATGCATTTTCATCTGGTGTTTTTACACTGAAAAACAATAGTAAAGTGTTCTGTTGACATCAACAGTTTAAACACAAGATTTCATGAGTAGTTAAGAATTAATGGGTTAATGGTGATGTGCCCCTCCAAGTAAAGTCATGACATAATTATACAAAACAGCTCTTGAGTTCATGTTGGTTACATTTAATTTAAACTTAAATGTTGAAACATTTATTAGCAACGTTAAAACTAGTCATTAAAATAGCCTTTATTTAACACATGAACTCTTGTGAACCATGTTGTAGTTAAAGTTAGTCCATTATTAGCGCATTCACTAACTCATCATAAGGTAATGTTTAGTTTACATATTAATACATCATGAAAGCTTATTTAATATAGCCAAGTTCAGAACTGCTAATCCATTAAAACAGTTAATCGTGACCTTTTGATAGAACAACATTTAATTAGTTGTTAACTTCTCTGTATGCAACACACTGCCTCATTAAAGTGAGCCTGCTGTGCGAAGCAAAAACAAAAAACTATCCTGAAAAACATTCTTGCAGTCCGTTACAAAAAGAGCGTCTGTTTTGACACCTGAATTGGACTTAAGCTGGAGAGAGAAAACCTGAGCATCAGATATTATAATCTAACCTGATTACAATATGATTTACAAACCCGTAGAGAGAGCTGCTTAAGAAGCGACGGCTGTAAGGGAAATTGGAACAAGATGAGCAAAGCAAGCCACACTTACCATGTGGAAAGACATTGAGCATCGGCATGAATTTTTTAGAGCTATAAAGGTTGGATTTCAGCAGTCTGAATGTGCTGTCAGAAAACATTAACCGAGCACAACCTGTAAGACAAGCCAGTCCAATAAATAACGTCAAGTGGACATTTGTATTGTTGTTTTAATTATTAATTTACGCTGTCAATTAGCTTTATTGCGCACTTTACTTAAAAAATGTATCATTATTGTTTACTAAAATTAAGAATGTGATAAGTAATTATTATATACATATAGTGATTAAATGTTTCCAACTTAGAAGTGAAAAAAAAATTGACTTTGAGGCTGTAATAAGTGGTTAAAGAGGCCACAAGAAGACTTGAAGTTAATCCAAACTAGCCTTTACTTGACCTATGACTAATGAATGTTAATAGTTTGTTACCAGCACAGTTACTAAACACCATCAGGGTAACACACACGACATTAAAATGAACTAATAAACATGAACTAAACAACATAAAGTGTAATGTAAACCATGCTAATGTTAACTGATGTATTTATTTATTTAAATAATTGAATGCAATACATCACGTAGGGACTTCTGGTGATCTCCTTTCACTGCTTTTACTGTGAACTGTACGGGGACTTTACAAAATAAAGCTAATCAACTGCAACTCTTCGTATGCAGAACAAATACAAAATACATTTTCTCAATTAAATATAATGTGAAGTACTTTGAAATCATTAGGAAAGTAGTTTATCTTAGACTTACTTTTTTACTATAATCGTTTAAAAGCAACAGTTAC